GGTTCATGAGTTTAACTAAAGTCTCACTTTTTTCCCCCAAATCATAGGAAAATTCATTATGTCTCTGTTATGGTAAGGATGTGGAATGACTCCCCCAAATCCCATGTGTTGAAAACATGATCTTCAAAATGTAAGGTTCAGAGGTGGAAATTTTAGGCAATGGTTGGTTCATGAGGGCTCTGACCTCCTCAGTGGATTAATCTATTTGCTGGAATAATTCATTGGTAGATAACTGGACTGAAGTTAGTCACGGTAGCACATAACTATGATCCCACTGACTCCAGGAGGCTAAGGCAGGAGAATCAAAAGCTTGAGGCTAATCTCGGCAATTTTGCAGGACCCCATCTCAAAATTTTAAAAATAAATAAATAAGAAACGACTGTGGCTGTATCTCAGTGATAAAATGCACTTGGGATCAATCCCCAGATAATTTTTTTTAAATAAACATGAATGGATTCCTGGTTGGTAACTATTGGCATGGAGCATGCCTGGGAGGTAGGTCATAGATGTGTCCTTGGGACTCTGTGTGCCCTTGGGTCTCTACATGCCCTTGGCCCCTTCCACACTCCATGATTTCCTGCTGCTATGTGGTTGGAGCAGATTTCCTACACATGTCTTCTACCATGATGTTCTGCCTCACACTGCACCTGGAGGAATGCAGTCCATGTACCATGCATTGAGACCTCTGAAACCATGAGCCCAAAATAACCTTTCCTCCTCCAAGTTGTCCTTGTCAGGTATTTTCTTTAGAGTGATGAATGTTGACTAAAGTTCTCCAGTATCAGTTTCTTGAGAATGATTCAGACTACTCCACTTCACATATACTTCTATTTTCCTATAAAAACAACTCTTGTTTCATTCCTAGTTTTCTCAGCGGGAGTCCTTGAACAGGTCTTGGTGAGTTTACTATTTTACATATGGCTTCTCTTTTTTATTATTTATATATTTGTGATACTGGAGATTGAACCCAGGATTTCATGCATGCTAGCCATACTTTCTACCAGTGACCTACATGCTCAGACCATTATTTATCTCTTAATTTATAAAACTACTATATTAATATTTACAAACTTAAATATTTCACATACAATATAACCAATTTATCGTTAGAGATTCTGACCATGCTTTACATTTAATTTGTTATGGGAATATAAAACCCTGCTATCTTAATTCAAATATTTTGGAGGTACCTATTTATCATTTCAACAATGGATGTCTCCAATTAAAATAATTTAATTTAATATAGGTTCCATGCAATAATTGGATCTATTCAAATTGTTTTGCAACATTGCTACAACTTACAGGAAATAATGTTATAAATGAGAAAAGAGATCATATTGGTAAACAGTCACACTAATATGAGTAGTAGAATCCATTGTCTTAAATGTCTCTAGTTATCCTCAATAAATTTCAACTAACTGAGGGAATGCCATTTAATTAAATGATGGAGCATTAAAAACTATGTAATTTTAATGAATTTCATTAATTCATTGGGGAGCGTGAGAGAAATAAGAGCTATGCACCCCTATATACATACCTATCAGCAAAGTTTCACTGTCTCAACAATGACATTGTATGAAATGGCACTACCTTAAGGAATCAGTCTCAACAATGACATTGTATGAAATGGCACTACCTTAAGGAATCATTATGCATGAGTGATGGGGAATGGGAGCTTGGGAGTTCTATTCTGTCTCTCAACTGTTCTGTAACTATTATAAATAAATAAGTAGATAATGATCACTTTGCTCAGACAGTGTGATAAACTTAAAGATCAGACTGAACAAAAATATCTTTAAATAAAATAAATGGTAATTACTTTTTAAACACAAGTGGGAAATGCATTAACACATTATATGCAAAGCTTCCATAATTCACCTGTATGTTAGCTGGTGGCCTTTTATTTGAGTGATTAGTCAAAATTGTGAGAACAGCACTGCTCACGGTTTCTGCAGCCAGCAGCAGAGTACTTAAAAGCCCCTGCGCTGTGCACGTCTTGATGTTCCTTTGAGGAAGCAGGAAGCAGATTCCTGCTCCTTGAGTGCATATTCAATTTCTGACACCACAACTGATAATGGCAACCTCTGTAACACTAGATACCTGACTAGGTACCTGACTGCTCATTTGCAGGACAGTGTCTGGTCCAGTGTGTTCTATTATGGTTCTTCTTGAAAGGCTCCACTTGTGTCTCTTAACTCCACCTTCAAGCTCACATCTTAGAATAAGATACATTCCATGCTTTTATAATTATATAAATATGGATTATACTGTCTTATACAACTAAAAAGAACCAATAAAATAAAATAAAATGAAAAGAAATGCTAATATCTTCCCTGACTACTGGGGAAAAGATTCCGATCCAGCATTCCCCATTTTGACAAATCTACCAGCATTCCCCATTTTGACAAATCTAAGCAGAATGCCTTATAATTTATAGAAAATATTACATTTATTTTGTATTAGCATTATTCTCCTTCACATATGTTCATTTCATATATTGAATGAGAAAAATAAAATTCATCTTTAATAAACTGTGTTTATTTGCCCCTGTAAATTGTGCCACATTATATTTATGTTAATTTATCTACATTATTTTTGCTTTTTTCTGTTTGTGTATATAATATGTGAGGGAGAAGAATATTGTTAGAAAAATAAAAACAGACAAAAACAGAGGTAGAGATACATACTGAGGAATATTACTCTCTTTGCGTGTCTCCTGAGATTGTGATATACTTACAATTTCAATGAAGTGAACACCAGTTGTAATTACCTCAGGTCATTTGTAATCTAACTTCTACATGATAAAAGCCATTCCTATTTATGATCAGACTATTAATTATGTTCTCATTTCAAATTTTTAAATGACACCTTTGCCTGTTAAAATAGTTCTTTTTTCCTACCACCATCTATAAATATTTTCACCTTTGTCTATTTTCAGATTCCCCACATCTTAGATTCCTTATCATGGTGCCTCTGAAGAGAGGTAACTTACTCCTCATACCTCCCAGGATTATGCCAACTTTCTACTTATCATTACCTGATGTGCACATACATTAGAATCCCCTGTCTGGTGGCCACTGACTTCTGAAAGTTTGATATTAAAATCCTCCAGAAAGAATCTGCTGTTTATCAGATGATATAGTTTAGATCTAAAATATCCCTCAAAAGACATATTTAAGGTTTGACCCTCGTGGTAGAACTATTAGTAAATGATGAATCCCTTGAGAGATGAAACTTAGTAGGAGAACCTCAGGTCATAAGATCACAACCCCAAAAGGATCATGTAACCCCAGTCCCTTCCTTTCCTTTTTCTTTTTTTTCTTTTTCTTCCTGTCATGAGATAAGTATTTTTGCCCCCACCAAATGCTCCTACCATATTCTGATGCCTCACCACAGACCCAAAGCACAGGGCAATTGATTCTGGAATCAATACACACACAATATAAGCAAAAATAAACCTGTTCTCTTTATAAGTTGATTGTCTCAATTATTTCACTATAGTGATGGAAAGCTGACTAACACACCAGCACACATTAGCAATGGTCTTCAGTATCCTGAGTCATTGACTATCCTTGAATCTCATGATTCCATGCCTTTCCTTTGAAGTTCTCCAAATGAATATGCCTGCTTATTCCCTTTTATTTCTATAGAAATCCACATGACATTTGAAATGATGAGACAAAAGAAAGCTACACAATATACCATTCCAGCAGAAGAATCAGTTGACTTTTAATTTGATTTTCAAGAAATTACTCTGCTCTTCATCATATTTAAAAAGTCAATGTTAATAATAGGATTCAGACAGACCAATAGAGATTGCAAGCATTACTTGGGCATGAGATAATTAATATTAATTTTAAACCAACCAACCAACAAACAAAAAAATCATTTTGCTGGTGGAATTTGTAGGGTCAGAGGAAGCTTGGGTTCAGCATCAATAGAATTAGAGTAGAAGCTTCTTCCTTCCTTATGAAATCTTCAATAACTATATGTACAGGGCTGATACATAACTTATATTGATCTCTGTTCATCAAACACACTGAGTCTTGCTCTTATACAATTTGTGTTATATAAATCGTATTTTAACAAATTTCATTAATATTTTTAAACCAAACAAAACAGATGTATTTCCATGATTGGTTGTATGCACTCCCACAAATACTTCATTCAGTGTGAAGGATTGCATTATTTATGAACCTTACTATCCATACCATTTTTAACACCAATGCACCTGTAAGTACTTGAAAGTCTTCAAAAATAGCATATAAGAACCCTGGTAAAAATTAAATACATAAATAAGTACATGAGGGTTCAGGATGGAGCACCCAACTTAATCTTAGTGTTTTATAGTTAGATATATAACACATTTATGTTAGGTGAGAAAGAGAAGCTTAGCAAATGTGTAGCTTCTTACTAAAAAAAAAATGACCATTTACTCTCTGGAAGAAAGAAAAAAATATTCCGAAGCAACAGCTTAGAATAAATACCAGGCACATTTACATTTGTCAGTAACTTGTCACCAGATTACTAATTAACTGAAACTACAGCTATCCCATCCTTAAAGAGCAAAACTCACAATGTTTCTTTAGTAAGATTATCTCACTAAAACAAAACAAAATGAAAAAAAAATAATAACAGCCATGGAGTAACGAAAAAAAAAAAAAACACAGGACACTTGTTTCATGATTTACATTATACCATGTAATCAGGACATAGGTATTCAATTAACTAAATATAGAATGAGACACAGCATACAAAATAAGACAAGAATTTCATTTTAAAGGCTCATAAATTGATCATGCAATGCTGACGTACAAAAATATTATCTCAGTTATGAGGCTTGTCTTTACAATAATTCAAGATACCTGTGAAGTTGTCTGAGGCACATGAGTGAGATAATATGACAGGCTCTGCCTGTGGTTTTCTCCTCCCCGCACTGAGGAGGTATAAAAGGCAGGTGGCAGACAAGTGACATCCAGACTCAAGACATCTACGTCCTGATCCTGAACTGAACATTCCACTCCTGACAGCATGAGCTGCTACTATGGCAACTACTATGGTGGGCTGGGCTATGGCTATGGTGGCCTAGGCTGTGGCTATGGCTGTGGCTATGGTGGCTATGGCTGTGGCTATGGTGGCTATGGCTATGGTGGCCTAGGCTGTGGCTATGGTGGCTATGGTTATGGATGCTGCCGTCCACTCTGCTACAGAAGATACTATTCCTATGGCTTCTACTGAGGCATTTCCTTAGCTGCTGAGCCTACTGGCTGTCACATCCTGTCTCACTGGAATCATCTCCAATTTTCTTCACATGAGAAATGTTTGAATATCTTCATCAATACCAACTATACACCAAACTAATTGAAAAAAATGAATGGAATCAGCATGCTTGTATTGATTCCTCATTACCTCTTGAATTATGTGATTGTTGGAGAAGTTTTTCCTTTGATAATTATCCTTGTAACACTATGTAAAATGTGATTGAATCTGATTCACAATGGCTGTATAAAAAGATACATATCTTAAATAAATTGTTTTTCACTGCAATAATGGCTTTGCTACAGTTGTTCTAAATTGTCTCCATCAGTGTAACATGTATATTTATGTGTTTGCAAGTGATTAGTTTTGTGTGTGTGCTTTTGTTTACCCAAGTGGGGGGGAGAGAGTGTTTGTACACATGCAAGAGAGACAAAGCAAGCAGGTCAGAGGTCTTCTCTGGCCAACAAGGGTTTTAAAATCAATGGGATAAAATCATAAATTCTTTCTAACATCATAAAAAAACTGTTTTGTTTGTCTTTTCACCTTTTCTACAATTATTCATTGCTTATAAGTTTTTAAAATAGCTATTTTATGCAAACATGTTTGTATTTCCTCAGAAACACACTCTTCGGTGTTCTTTTCTGCTCATTAATGAAAAGGGAAAAAATAATATTTCTTTCTAACAGATCATGCAAAGTGTGTTTTATATTTGTGTTTGACTCTCTTTTACCTTTTTAACTTGCTAATGGCTCCCATTCAAGTTCTTAAAATGGCTATTTTCTACAATGATAATTTTATTTTGTATCAGACCATTTAAAATTTTATATATTTGTTTTCTTTGTGTAACTTGCACAAAATGGTTTGCATTATCTCAGCTACAGATCTACCTCTGTGAAATGTTTCTCAATTTTTGTAAAAAAAAAAAAAAAAAAAAAAAAAAAGCATTTTTCCTAAACAATGAGTTCAGGAAGCATCATATTGAAAATGTCTATACTAATAATCATGTTCTGGATTACCTTCATGGCAACCAAATAGTGTTTCAAAATGTATCAATTTATTCTTCCACTTAGAAAAAGTAGATGTATTATGCATTGTAAGATAAATTTATCAAAACCATGAGTTATTTTCTCAGTTTCGAATTAGCATTAGTTTATCTTCTTTTTCATCTCAAAGTCTGATGTTTATCAAAGGTATGTGCCTACATGTACTAATTTTCTCCAGAATCAAATTGTTTCCACTCTTAAAGTAGTTATGTTTCATTTGGGTAACAAACTGACAGCACTAAATGCAATGAAATGCTGATGGAGAAGTAAGAATAAGAAAACTGATACTCTTAAGATGCAAAAAATGTTTCATCGTGGGGTAAAATTTTAAAGTTCTCTATTCTAGGAATCAGGCAAGAGGCTCCTATGACAGAGTAATCAGCAGAATTCTGAGTCCATTATCAATTCTTCAGGGCTGGGAAAACGTACTTGGTATTTTAGTGAATTTTTTCATTGCTGACCCCCAAAGACCTGACAAGAATTATTTTAGAGGTTGAAAAGTTTATTTAAGGATCATGGTTTCATTGATCTCATTCATTGACTTCAGCTGACTTCATTGCTCTGAGCACGAGGTGGGCAGGACATTATGGTGGAAGAGAGTGCTTTAAAAAATGTGACAAGGACATGGCCACCATAAATCAGAGAGAGAGAGGGAGAGAGAAGGAGAGATCTACTCACCAAAAACTAAATATACACCCCAAGGCATGTAACCCAAAGATCCTACTCCTCCAATTGCACTCCACCTACTTACAGTTACCACCCAGTTAATCTCTATTAGGGGATTAATGCACTGATTAGGTTAAAACTCTGATAACCCTTCAGGCACTGTGGCCCACAAATGTAATCCCAGCAACATGGGAGGCTGAAGCAAGAGGATCACAAGTTTGAGGCCAGCTTCAGCACCTTTTTGCACTGTCTCCCACATGAGCTTTTGGGGGACATCTAATATCTACGACACCACATTTAGAAACATAAAAAAGACAATCTGATAAGAAATCATTCAGAGAATAATGACTTTAAATGAGCCAGGTTTCTCCATGAGACATTTTAGAAATAAATGTCTAACTTTTTATAAAAGTTGTAAAGATCCGTTTCCTGATATAAAACATAATCATTTAAAAATGAGATGAAAAATATCATTGTGTTCATATCACGGTGAAAAGAAAATAGTCACTAGAATTCAGAAGAATCATCTTGAATAGAAAGAGACTAAAGATCAGTCCCCATAGGCTAGACTAAAGATATAAAGGCACCCTAACCAAAATTCAGAGCATAACATCATGATTATCCTTATTTAAATTTGATCAATCTGCTCTTTTCTAATAACTGAATGGGAAAGCAATGACAAAACACAAGCATCTAATGTGAAATACAATATGTTCTGGATCTTCTAAAACTTTAATAGAAAATACTGAGTTTATGGACTCCTATGGAGATATGCAAAAGAGGCAACAGTTATTAAAAAGTGTCAAAATGTGTTCTACTGTCGTGAATAAATATTTAGAACAAATTAAAAAAAAAGAAACCAAACCTTCCTTCACATACTAGATATTGCACTAAAATTGGAGAAATGTACAAAAAAATCAAACTAAAATTCTAGTTCTATTTTAAAAAAAAACAAATGATCCATGTGGTCAATAATTTAACAAATTTAGTTTCAGAAAATAAGTATAATAGGCATAATACTAAATATACTATGCTTGATCAAGAAACAATTTGTTGCCCAATTTCAAAAGGAAGAAAACTTGTTCACTTTTTCTTTTACAGCACAAACATTTAATACATTGTCTTTTTGCCACTTCTAGCATGTCATGATATGAACAAGAGACTCTGAAATAAGAAGAAATGCAGACACAATAATAAATTTCACACAACACAATGACTTAAAAAATATTGGCACATGGATTATGACAAATAAATATCCATTGGTAGCTGAAAGAGGCTAGCAGACCTCTGTGAATCTCAGAAGTCTTAAATTATCTGAATGAGAACCTTGGGGAAAAGCAAGTTTCTGAAACATTGATGTACCTGTGACTATTTTCAGTGTGCAGTGACAGCAAGGAGCATAACTGGTAGGATTTGTGAGCCAGAGGACCTTTAGGCTCAGCAACCATAAGTGGAAGCTCCTTGCTTCTTTAGCAATTCCTCTAATGCCTACATTAAGAGTGGTGGGACATAATTTAGATTTATCTCTGTCTCAGGTGTCAAGCTGTTCTCTAATAATAATAATAATAATGATGATGATGATGTCTCATTGATTTTATGTGAATTGAATTTTTAAAAGTTAAATTAACTATAAAAACCAAACAAAAACATGTCTTTCCATGTCTGAGTATCCTTGTTTCCACCAAAACTTCATCAGCAGCTAAAATCTGAGAAAGCAAAAGGGAGCACATGGCTCATTTGGTCTTTCTGATCCATCCATGCACTTTGAAGATACAGGCCATTCCTACAATGGCAAGGCATTTGAAAGAGTGAATGCTAATTTTTTTGTTGGTATTTTTTAAATTTATTCTTTCTAATTATACATGACAGTAGAATGTATTTTTTAATTTGTTCTAATTAGTTCTCCATGAAAGCAGAATGCATTTTGATTCATTGTAAACAAATGGAGCACCACTTTTCATTCCTCTTTCTGTACACAATGCAGAGTCACACCACACATGCAGTCATACATGTACCTAGGGCAATGATGTTCATCTCATTCTACCATCGCTCCTGCCCCCATGCCCCTCCCCTTTTCTCCCTCCCCTTTACCCCCATTCCCCCATTCTTCCCACAACTGCACCCCGCCCCATTGTGGATCAGCCTCCACTTATCAGAGAGAACATTTGGCCTGGGTCAAATGGCGGTTCCGTTCAAAGTTTTCTGAGGAATCTCCATACTGCTTTCCAGAGTGGTTGCACCAATTTCCAGTCCAACCAGTGATGTATGAGAGGACCTTTTCCCCTACATCTTCACCAACATTTATTGTTGCTTGTATTCTTTTAAAAATTTTTGTTCTAATTAGTTATATATGACAGTAGAATGTACTTTGATATATCATACATAAATGGAGTGTAACGTCTCATTCTTTTGGTTGTACATGATATAGAATTGCACCAGTTTTGTAGTTATATATGCAGGTAGGATAATAATATTCAATTCATTCTACTGTCCTTTTTACCTCCATACCCCCTCCTCTCCCTTTCCTCTCCTCTACCTAATTCAAAATAAGTATTCTTTTCTAGCATCCCCTACCTTATTTTGAATTATCATCCACATATCAGAGGGAACATTCTGCCTTTGTTTTTTGTTGTTGTTGTTGTTGTTGTTGTTGTTTGAGTGGGGGGGTTGGCTTATTTCACTTAGCATGATATTGTCCAGTTCCATCCATGTACGGGCAAATGACATCATTTCATTTTTACTTATGGCTGAGTAATCTTCCATTGTATAAATGTACCACATTTTCTTCATCCATTTATTTGTTGAAACCAGCTAGTTGGTTCCACAGCTTAGCCCTTGTGAATTGAGCTGCTATAATCAATGATGTGGCTGTGTCACTGCAGTATGATGTTTTTAAGTCCTTTGGGTATAAACTGAGGAGAGGAAGAGCTACCTCAAATGTGGTTCCATTCAGAGGTTTTTGAGAAAACTCCATACCACTTTCTATAATGGTTGCACCAATTTGCAGTCCCACCAGCAATGTATGAGTGTACTTTCCCCCCAACATCCTTGCCAACATTTATTGTTGCTTGTGTTCTTGATAATTGCCTTTCTGACTGGAGTGAGATGAAACCTTAAGATTTAAGGTTCTGATTTGCATTTCTTTAATTGCTAGAGATGTTGAACACGTTTTCATATAGTTGTCAATCAATTGTATTTTTTCTTCTGTTAAAAGAATGAAAAGAAATTGTACAGTTCCTTAGCCCATTTATTGATTGGGTAATTTGGTTATTTTGGTGTTAAGATTTTTGAATCCTTTACATATCCTAGAGATTAATGCTCTATCTGAGGTTCATGCAGTGAAGATTTTCTCCCATTCAGTAGGCTCTTCTTTAACATTCTTGTTTTCTTTGCAGTGAAGAAGTTTTTTAGTTTGATATCATTCTATTTATTGATTCTTAATTTTACTTCTTGCACTTTTGGAGTCTTGTTGAGGAATGGTTCTTAAGCCAATATGATGGAGATGTGGACCCATTTTTAATTCTAGTGGATACCCAGGTCCTTGATGCAATTTGCATTGGATTTTGTGCAAGGTGAGAGATAAGGGTATGATTTCAAATTATTATGTATGTATTTCCAGTTTTCCCAGCACCATTTGCTACAGAGGCTATCTTTTCTCCAGTGTA